AAGCAATGGTAGAGAAATGGTGGCAGCAGAGGCAATAAAAACAGAAGACCAGAAGGAGACAGCATGGTTGGCTTCCTGGTCCATGGTGCAAAAAAGCTGACTGCTTTTGGATTCAGCGAGGAGGCTTTCTGGTGAAGTGGGGTGTCTCCAGGTACCTATTGGTGCAGTTAAAGAGCTTTTTAATAGTCACCTGTGCAGGACAGAGCCCGAAGGGTTGTGAGGCAGAGAGATCAAGGGCCAAGGAGAGGTCAATGGTCAAGGGCAAGCTGAGAAGATACGCATATAGCTGAAAAGTTGTCCTAACTGAAGAACTGTATCCTAAGGCATTTCTGATCCTGAATTGTAAGCTGCTGCTTCCCTAGTCGACCCCATACTCAAAAGTTCTGTGGCCATTGGAAGAAGGATGGCTGGTGTCAGAACTGGTATAAAGGTTGGAGCGTGGTTGCATGTTTGACCTCTACAGCAAAGGAGTCAACCTTGTGCTGCTGATGCTGATAATGTTCTCTCTTCTGGTGAAGTTAGGTCTGATGCTGCTGTCATCCCATTTTTGACAGTTGGCATATATATATAAAACATACTCTTAAAAGTATTTCTATCAAAGTTATAATACTTTATAATTTATCAAGGGGTCACGAGGGTGGGGGAGGGAGGGTAAAAACAAGAGCTGATACCAATGGCTCAAGTAGAAAGAAAATATTTTGAAAATGATGATGGCAACATATGTACCAATGTGTTTGATACAACTGATGTATGATTTGTTACAAGATCTTTAAGAGCCCCCAATAAAATGACTTATATAAAGTATTTCTGTCTTTAAGAGTAAAAATTTAAGCAACAAAGTAGAAGAAATTTTGTAATTCAAAGGTCTTACATCTAAACTCTTTTATATATGATTTTTCAAAGAGGAAACAATCCAATAGAAAAATAAACATACCCAAAGATTTAAACTGGTATCTCAAGGGGAATACCTCCAAATAGCCAACAAGCATATGCAAAGACGTTCAATTTAACTTACTACCAATTAAGCAGAGATTAAAATCAGAATGAGATTCTATTCTATACCCACCAGAATGGCTTACATGAAAATGAAAAACAATTGGAAAAGTATTTGAACATACATATAAGGGGTTTCAAAAAGTTCACGGACCACCTAATCCATTTTTTAAAAGTTCATGGAAAATTTGAACGACAAGATCACGGAACTTTTCCACGAACCAATTGAAGTCTCCTCTTACCAACACCAAAGAGTTCACCTCAAGGATTACTTAAGAACAACGTCAAGGGATTAAGACCGGCCAGAGAGTCCACAGAAAAACAGCCAGCAGAGATTTTAAAGGCTGACTGATTTCATCATAGAAACGCAAATTAATGAGGCACCATAATGCGATTGTGTGCTACGGGCTTAAGACAGGAATAACTAATCAAAGGAAGAGAATTACTGTGGTGCGGTAGTTGCTCGATGAGCCACAAGATCAGCCGCTGCTCGGAGGGAGGAAGATCAGTTTGAGACCACCAGCTGCTCAGAGGGAGAGAGAGGAGGTTTTCTATCTCTGTAAAGAGTGACAGTCTCGGAAACGCGCAGGGGCAGTCTACCCTGTCCTACAGGGTCGCCGTAAGTCAGAATCCACTCGATGGCAGTTAGTTTGGTGGTTTGGGTTTGGCTGTCCAGTTGGTTCCAACTCATGGCAACCCCATGTGTCACACAGTGGGAATGTTTTTCCAAACTGTGGGAATGCTGTTCCATAGAAGCATCTTACAGAAGCAGCTCACTAAACATGTCTTCTGCAGAGCTACTGGGTGGGTTCAAACTGCCAACCCTTGAGCTAGCAGTCATCCTGAAGCCACTTCATGATCCAGACTTCTTTAGAAGAGAATAGGGAGACCATAAAAAAAGACCAAAAAGCTGATATCAAGGGCTCAAGTAGAAAGCAAATGTTTTGAGAATGACGATGGCAACAAACGTACAAATGTGCTTGACACAATGGATATATGTGTGAATTGTGACAAGAATTGATTGAGCCCCCAATAAAATGATTTTTAAAAAAAAGACCAAAACTTTTTAGAGTTTAGAGTTATAAACCAGAACAATGGTAGAGACACATCATATTCCTGGATGGGAAAGGATATCTTCAAAGGGCCTATCTTCCCAAGATTAACATATAACTTTAGTGTGCTTCTGCTATGGTGAGGGGCTACTATGTTGGCGCCAACTCACAGTAACCTGATTTCAAACAAATTGCAGTGCTGCCTGTTCCCGTTCCCACAATGGTGTGTGCCCATTGTTTCAGCCACTGCGTCAGACCATCTCCCAGGGGTCTCCCTTGTTTTCCCCTACCTGCTACTTTATCAAACATGCTACCCTTTCCTAGCAATATCTTCCCTGATGATTTATGCAAAGGCAGCCTCACTTCTAAGGAGCACTCTGGTTGTCCGTCCTCCAGGGCAGGTTTGTTTGTCTTTCTACAGGTGCGTGACAGATGCAATACTCTTTGCCAATACCACAATTCAGATGTGTGGGCCTTCAGTCTTCCCTTCTCACTGGTCAACTTCTTCATGCAAGTGAGGAGATGGAAAATGTCTGCCTCCATGGGCCAATATTAGTTGTTGATCCAAGAATAAAGTCTTCGACAACTTCAATTTCTTTGCCATTTATCATGATAAACTTTCAATCTAATCAACTCTTATTATTCCTGAACTGGACACAATAATTTTCACACATAAACAGACATACTCAACCTTTGGAACAATTAAGACAGAAGTATCTAACAAGACCAGTGGGAAATTGCAGAGAGGAGACAACTGACTGTGGTCTCTGGCTGATGCCAAAAAACACCAATACACGCCCCTCAAATTTTCTGGCTATGTGAAATTCCTCTTTTGGGGGAACGAGCAAAAGCTTAAGTGCCAATATAAGGCAACTGCATGTCATTTCTATGGGATGCCATGAGGAAGAGAGAGGCTTGGACGTCGAGAACAGTGGCCAGGTGTACAAACATTCACCTGGAGGAAGTGGTGCGGGCAGTGACCCCTTGATAGAAACACAGGACGATGGGGAAGGTTGTGGGCCTGGACGCTCACTGCTGTACCAGGAGCACAGAAGAGGCGAGGTCAACACCTTCCGGAGGGTTGTCAAGTGCTGACGACTGGGCACTCGAGCAGGATTTGGCAAGCAAAGGCTCAGTCATGTCAAGCCTTTTCTGTCCCGGATATCCTTGTTCCTCGGACTGTGGGGCTCCTGGGGTGACGGGAAGGGAAAGTCACGTGCCTGTGTTCAAAGACACCTTGACCAAGGCTGCCTTGCACTGTCAGGACAGGTTTGTTGCATGGGAACAGGGGTTTAGTTTTGCTGACCTAGAACAGGGCCTGGCTGTGCTCCATCAGTATTTGTTGAATGAATGCACAGCACCAGAAAAGCATGGCCTGCTAGGGAGGGGGAAGACCCATGAGAAACTGGCTTAGTATGCCTATTATCCATCACAAAGCCATGCCGAATAGAAGCCAAGCACATGCGCTGTAAAATGGTGAGAAGGAGAGCCTGGATTGTTAGCAAGCGAAGGGCAAGATTTCCATCCACCCACCAATCCATCATCCATTCATCCACCTGCCCTGTCACTCCCTCCCGCACATTTGTATAGCATTTCTGTTACAGACCCACCCGCGAGGAAGGCGCTGGGAACACAGCTACAAGGAAGACCAATGTCCTGCTCGCATGGGGCCATCTCGATGAAGACGAAATGTCAAAGACCCACTGCAGTGCATTTAGGAGGGGAACATGTCTGGGATTTCTTTACTGAGTGAACTAGTCTTGTGTTTTGGTAGGTAGGAAGGTATTTGGAGGGTCACACTTCTTTAGGGCCCTGTCCCTATTTTCCGATACGGTGTTCAGTGTCAGCACACCCAGGAGGTAACTTGGGTCAGGCCACCGCAATAAAGCGAATACCGCTATAAGGCCAGTCACACTGTGTTTTGGCTTCGCTGTTCCCCAGTGTGAGTAACAGCCATGGCCACACTGTATCATACACAGTAAGGGCACAGCTCATTATGAAAAAGCTGAAATACCGTGAGAATCACCAACGTGACACAGACAGGAAAATGGTTCCAATGCACTTGCAACAGCGCAGGGGCACCAGGAGTCTTCAATTTGTTAAAGAAACAAAAAAGGATAGTCTCTGTGAAGCTTTACAAAGTGAAGTGCATTAAGAGGAAGTCGGGCCCCATCTCAATATCAAAGTCTCCCAGAGAAGGCCTGGAGTGGGGAGAGCGGGGGTCCACCCACCCTTCTCTGGGAAGGGGTGGCTGTGCCCAAGAAAAGTGCCGAGCGTGTGTCCTGACGGATCTTAGAGATGGCATCGGCTATAGGCCTCCCCCAGGGACTGCCCGGAGAAAGTCCCAAAGGTGCTACAGGCCACAACCAAACTCAATGCTGTCGAGTCGATGGCCTTAAATACGTACGACTCGGCATGACTCCCCTGGGTTTCCGAGACTGTAACTATTTACTGGAGTAGCACGCCCAGTCTTTCTCCTGAGGAGCTCTTGGTGGTTCTGAACTGCTGGCCATGCGGATTGGAGCCCAACGTGCAACCATGACACCAGCCCTTATTTCTCCAACAGCAGGAAAGTGGACCAGTTCCACTGTGGATTTTATTCAACAAATCTGTCCGAACACCTTTCTAAATTGCAAGAGGTCTAAGAGGACACAGGAACAAGAATTATTACTATGTTTCAATTGACTAGCTTTAAATTAACATGAAATGGTTGTAAGGCTTTCGTGTGTGTGTGTGTGTGTGTGTGTGTTTTAATGTATTGTATTCAAAAGTCTTTAGTGGGCTAGGTATTTATCTTCGATAGCTCTGGAATTTAAATAATTGCTAAGTAACTAAATTAGAGCTCAAATAAGCACAACAGAGAGGAAAAGAAACAAAACGGATGGTAAACCATGAGGACATGACTCCGCACACCCCCAACAGCCGAAAGCCAACTTGTGAAAGCAGCGTCGTTACCTTTTAAAGGCGGTAGTCTCTGCAGTTCTCTATTATTGCTGGCGCTAAACCTTGTGGAATTCGGCCGCTTGTCTTTCTTCACCATCGGCTGAGGGGTTGGTACTTTTATTTTATTACTTGTTGCGGATGGAGCAGCAGCAAGGCTGTTTTTTCTGCTGGCAATCTGTTTCCAAAATAAAAACTATTAAAATGCAGGAAAACAAAACAAAAAGAGCAAAACACACACAAGTTCTACTCGGGTGGGATCAGGGCTGGCCTGGGCTGCTGGTAAACACTGTCTTTGATGGAGTCTGAGGCCCATACCCCCATCTCTAGAAGGGCTAGACTTTGAGAGATCCATCGGGCTACCGATTTTATTTTGAATCGTGGCATTCAGACCTTCAATTTCTAAATATTTAACACATAGGCAGAACCTGGTGCTCCGCCCCTACAAGATGGCGGTCCAGAAACCACCGTGAGGACGAGTTTTGCTGTGTGACGCAGGCAGGTGCCAGGAGTCCAAGCTGGCTCAATGGCGACTCTCAACAGGCTGATGTGACGGGCTCCACGAGGACTCCCAAGACATCCTCCTAGTCCTTGGGGATGGTGAGTGTGCCGCCACCTTCAGGGCACAGGGCACCACTGTGCAGCTGTGAATAGCTCAAGGAAACAGAGATGGGGAGATGACCCTCACTTTCACAAGGGTCCTTACAAGGGGGAGGGGGCAGGGGGCCGGACCCAAGAGGGCAACAAGACAATGGAAGCAGAGAGAGATTAAGAGGCTACACTGCTGGCTTTGAGATGGGAGATGGCTGGCCCAAAAGGCAGGTGGCCTCTAGAAGTCTGAAAGGGAAAGGGCAAGGGTTCTCCCCTGGAGCCTCCAGCGGGAGTGTGGCCCCGAGGACACGTGACTGTCACCCCCAGAAGCTCATTTTAGACTGCCAGTTCCTAGAATGCTAAGACTCATGTTTGTGTTGTTTTGAGCCCCTAGTTCTGTGGTTACTTGTGTGCCAGCCATGGAAAAGTTAACACCATTCATCCTTCAAAAATGACATGCTTTCCCTGTGAGCCATGTTTCCCTGAAAGTAAGACATCTCCCGAAAATAAGACCTACTTACAGTTTTGCCTCTCGCTGAAATACAAGGCATTCCCCCAAAATAAGACCTCCCCGAACATAAGGCCTCCCCGATAATAAGGCCTCCCGAAGCTACCCTAACTCTGGACTCTGGGTTGTAGCGGTGGGCGCTGCTGTAGCTCACTGTTGGCTGCAGCGCAGCCGGAGCAGACAGGAAGTGCAGGTAAATGTACCATAGATTGTTGTACATGGAAATAATGGTAGTAACAAGAAATTCTTGATACTGTAGAATTCACAGTTTGTCTGGTTGTGCTTGTTTGTGATGACAACTACTACCGTAGTGTATACAGGTAATAAATTTCCTTTCTTTGTTGTTCAACAATAAATGTGTACTGTATTCTTCTTCATGGAAAAATAAGATATCCCCTGAAAATAAGACCTAGCGCATCTTTGGGAACAAAAATTAATATAATACACTGTCTTATTTTCGGGGAAACAGAGTACGTATCGAGCCCTTCAAGACCAGTCAACATTGTATGACAGCACTTTCCCCTGGGCAGCAGGTCCCTCAATCAATGGAGCCAATGGAGCTGCATCACCCATGTGAAAGAACGAAGCTGAATCCCTACCTCAAACCATACACCAAATGAACAATGGCCCAGATGTGAAAGCCAAAAACCACGAAACTCCGAGGACAGAACATAGGGGTAATGTTTCAGGACCTACTTTTTGAAGGCGGAGTCTTAGATTGGACACCAAAGCATAAACAGTAAGAGACACAGTAGACAAACCGAACGCTACTGACAAGGTAAAGAGACAACTTGCAGACTGGAAGGAGTTTCTGGGAACCAGAGAGGGGTTGAGTAGTGGGCAGCTACCTGCAGGGTTGGTGATTCAAACCCATCAGCTGCACCCTTGGAGAGAGATGGGGCAGCCTGCCCCCGTACAGACTGACAGCTTTGGAAGCCCCGTGGAGCAGCTTTGCTCGGCCCTCCAGGGTTGCTGTGAATGAGGACCACTTTGACGGCAGTAGGTGTGGTTTGGGTACACCGAGAAACAAAGTGCTAGTACATGCCACCACATGGGTGGACCTGGAAAATGCCCCGAGTAAAACAGAACCACACACAAAAGTACAAACACTGTATGATCCAACTTATATGGAATGTCTAGGACAGGCAAGTGTTGAGAGGACAAGCTAGCTAGTAGGTGCTGGGGGAGACGGATGAAGGGTAACGGAGTTTCTGCTCCTGAGATTCAATGAGACGCATCGCCTTGGGGAAATCTGCTGCACAAGACCTCTTTAGAGTGTTGACAAGGAGGGAGGTTACTCTGAGGACAAAGGTGTGCTGGACTCAAGCCATGGTATTTTCAATCGATTACCTCCCACGCGTGTGAAAGTTGGACGCTGAATACGAAAAGCCGGAGAAGAATCGATGTATTTGAATACTGGTGCTGGCAAAGAATATTGAAAACACACTGGACTGCCAAAAGAGCAAACCACTCTGTCTTGGAAGAAGTACGGCCAGAGTGCCCCCTAGAGGCCAGGATAGGGAGACTTCGTCCCGTGTACTTTGAGCATGTGGTTAGGAGCCACCAGTCCTTGGAGAAGGGACATTATGAGCAGGAAATCATCAAGTGGAGGGGCAGCAAAAAAAAAGGAAGACCCCACGGAGATGGAACGACACCACGGCGGCAACAACGGGCTCAAGCATAGGAACAACTGTGGGGACCGCGCAGGACCAGGCAGTGCTTTGCTCCGCTGTGCACGGGGGCCCTGCGAGGCAGAACTGATTGATGGCACCTAGCCACAACACCTGAGTTTCTGTGAAGGACGGAGACAAAACGGAGAATGGACAGTTGTGTTAATCCGGTAGACGACAGAAACAAATCCATAGGAACTCATATATGTGTATAAGAGAGAGTTTTATATAAAGGGTAATTGTACATTAAGAAAGCATCCCATGCACATGGTAGACAACTGGGGAGGAGGTGGGGAAAGGGAACAAAAAAAAATGATGAAAATAAGGAAGAAATGGCTAGCGGGGGCACGGGGCGCTAACCCACCCAAGGGGAGGGTATTGTTTATATCTCCACAGGAAAAGAGGGACC